CATTCCTGCCAACACTTGTTATTTCTTGTCTTTTTGATTGCAGTCATTCTGACAGATTAAGATGATATCTCATTGTGGTTTTGATTTGCATGTCCCTGACAACTGAGCATCTTTTCATGTGTCTGTTGGCTATCCGTAGGTCTTCTTTGGAAAAATGCCTATTCAGGTTGTCTGTCCATTTTTAAATTGAATTATTTGTGGGGCTTTTTGGTGTTGTGTTATAGAAGTTCTTCACATATTTTGGATATTAACCCCTCATCAGATAAATCATTTGCAGGATCTTCTCCCATTTGGTAGGTTGCCTTATTGTTTTATTGATGGTTTCCTTCACTGTGCAAAAGCTGTTTATTTTGGTGTAGTCCCAAAAGTTTATTTTTGCTTTTGTTTCCCTTCCCTGAGAAGACATATTTAGAAAAAAGTTTGTATGGCCCATGTGAAAGAGGTTACTGCTTATGTCTTCTAGGAGTTTTATACTTTCAGCCCTCACATTCAGGTCTAATCCATTTTGAGCTTATTTTTATGATCACATTTTAACTATACAGTGTTTTAAAAAGTCTATTAAATTGTCAGAAAGCACAATATTTTATTTAGCATTGCATCCTCCTAATACCTAATGTAAATCCTTACATATAATTGACTCTCAAGATTTGTCTGATTATAAAAAAACTGACAAAGCAATTTTAATGAACACAGACTTATTTTTTAATTTTCAAATTTTTTTTTTTAATTTTTGAGAGAGAAAGTGTGTGCAAATGGGGGAGAGGGGCAGAGGGAGAAAGAGGGAGAGAATCTTAAGCAGGCTCCACATAGGGCTTGATCCCACAACCCTGGGATCATGACCTGAGCCGAAATCAAGAGTCTGACGCTCAACCAACTGAACCACCTACACGTCCCCATCACCAGGTTTAGAATGGTTTGTTAGGGAACGAAAACTATCTGATCTACTTTGTAACCATCATCTCTGCTGATCTCTCAACTCTGCATACTCAGCAGTCTTAAGAATTATTTAGCAAAGATGCAAAGTTTACTAATTCCACAAGAGAAAATAATTTTATTCTCCACGAAATTTCAAGCTTTGAAATGTAAAATAATAGAGAAAATAGCTTAAAATGTTGGCAATAGCTTTCTATAAACAAACTTCCTCTTTGTGACTGTAGTTGAATGAGACATACGTCCAAGAGCAAATCCAAGCAAATATGTAGTTGTCTTTCCTGAAAGAATATTCTGGTTGTTGTGTAGAAAATTCTTCTCTTCCTCATCTAGTAAATGTTAATTGACCTCCTTTCCTATTCCGTGCCAGACCCTGAGCTACACATTCCCTCTCAGAATTAATCTCTGCAACAGAGACTTATTTAAATTGCCATTCTAAATAATACACAAAAACTGTTTTGTTCCAATTCAACTTACTTAACTCAAACAAAGTTGATTAAGTAGCTGTGTATTCTTTCTGTTAAAAAGTGCAAGTTAATCACTCCTGGGCATAAAATCTTCCAGTGAGTCCCCAGACGAGAGTAAAAGCCCAAGCCTTTACAAAGACCTACATGGCCCTGCATTCCAGATCTCAGACTTGGTCTTCTACTCCTACTTGTACTTGACCTCCCCACCACTCGCTGTTGCTGTCCCAGCCACGCTGGACAAGGTATGTCTCACTCCGGCACCAGCAGGCACTTGGTGCCCCAGGGTGCGTGCCTGTCCTGGCCACCTTCCCACAGACGTGGTGCCATTTACTCCCTCACGCCCTTCCGGTCTTTACTCAAAGAGCTCCTTCTCAGAGAGGCCCTTCTTGGCTGCCTCATTCCAAAGTGCACCCCTTACCCCACCTCACAGACCCATCCCCACTCTGCATTCTCTATTCCCTTTCCCCACAGCACCTATAAGCTCCTAATCTGCTGTGTGACTTATTTATCCTCTATCTCCCTGACTGGAGGGAAACTCCACAGAGGCTGGGATTTCTGCCCGTTCTGCCCGTTTTGTTCATTGCTTTATCACCACTCTCTAAAACCATGCCTGGCACAGAGGAGTTGCTTAAAAAATATTTGGTGAATAAATGAGTTTCTCTTTAAAATGGCAAACTACCCAGAATTTGCCTTTTATTTAAAAAAGCATCTTGTTTTATTATTTTTAGTGGGATTAAAACATACAGTTTCAGGGGCGCCTGGGTGGCACAGTCGGTTAAGCGTCCGACTTCAGCCAGGTCACGATCTCACGGTCCATGAGTTCGAGCCCCGCGTCAGGCTCTGGGCTGATGGCTCGGAGCCTGGAGCCTGTTTCCGATTCTGTGTCTCCCTCTCTCTCTGCCCCTCCCCCGTTCATGCTCTGTCTCTGTCCCATAAATAAATAAAAAAACGTTGAAAAAAAAATTAAAAAAAAAAAAAAAAAAAAAAAAAAAAAACAACAACATACAGTTTCATATATACACTCAAAATATGGCCTGTGGGTCTCTTGGTAATAAGAAAGCTCTATTTTGGTTGTACCTGAGAGATCTCACCACAGAACATATTCTTTGACGTACTTAATTTATAGAAGTTCCAAAAAAGTGTAAAGGATGATGTTACAATAGACAATCCGAAGCCACGTTCTTATTTGAGGTTACATTTCAACGTAAACTAAGACAAAACTGATAGGAATTTTTAATGACCACAGTTCATGTCTTATATACCAATAAAAGAAGTTTAAAAATTCCTTAGAAGTTATTAATCACTGTATAGTTTTAAATGATGACTAAGTACTAGACCACATACACCCATAATACAAAAGCACACATTTCAGACCACGAATATACAGGTTGTTTTGTAGAAATTTCCGTTGCTATTTCTATACACACAGACTTCACAAAATATCATAATGTTATTAGTCACTGACCAGTTTTTCTCTTTTCCTTATTTTATGACACAACATCTGTTCTGTATATTGTCAGCAATAATTCAGTTTGACCCTTTCCAAACTGTGAATAGCTAACTTCTGGAAGCCCTATCTGACTTAAACATATGAAGGTGAAGTAAAGAAAAGAGGAAAACAGGCTATAATTCATTCATTCACTATTTCAACTGATGTCACTAATATTTATTATCTATTGCATACTCACAATTGTACTTGAAAGAAGAAAATCATAAAAAACACTCAGTTCAGGTCACAAATGTCCATCTTATCTCTTCTACAGAAAAGTACATTGACTGCACTTTTATAGTACAACAAAAGAAATCCTGGTAACTTTCAATAACAATAAAAAAAAGGTTTGTGGGCTCATGAAGTTAACGCACGCTAAACCCTCACAGCATCTCACAGGACAATCAGCCTGCACCCTTTTCTTTATATATTCAAACACTCTAATACCAAATAGAGGTGGATCCAGTTCGCTAGAACATTTACTTTACCTGGTTGAGTTCTTCATCATATAACAATGCTTTACTTAATAAAAACTCTTTCAAAAATTAAAAACCAAAACACCGCACCAGGATGTTCTTTCAACAAATCGAGAAGCTTCTCAACACTGTCTTCTTCAAATATTCTTCAATCCAAGTTTTAAATAAATTAATTCTAGAATATTTTATCATATTTATCACCAAATCATAAAATATCTATATTGCCCCCTCAGGATTTTTGTACTAGGAATTATCTTGGCGATCATTTACTTCAGTACCTTTATTTTACAGACAGTGAGGTGGAGGCACAAAGAATTGGGTAAGTTGTTGCTCTTCTGTTTGACAGTGTTCAACATCTCCAGCATTTTAGAGCTTAGAAGAACCTAGTAAGCTTCTAGATGGAATGATACCACTGAGGGGCTGAAGCCCCTTGGCCCTTCTGCCAGATTCTGGAGTGGAAGATGTGAAGTCAGAGTTACAAATTCCTACCAAATGATTCAATTCTCTCTGTGTCATCCCTCAAGACAGTCAACCAGTTTATGTAGGCACCTAAATAAGAAAGCCTCTTCCATTTTTTTTTTTTTTAATGACCCTAACTTTTGGGAACTACCTTCATATTTTGACTTGAAAGCTGTCTCTAGTGGCTTCCTCTTACTGGCCTTCTTTCTATTCTCTGGAGTTGGGAGGACTGACATACACAACTAAATCCTTCTCTATGGGACAGCTTCCAATGCATGAGGAAGATGATCACATCTTGGCCAAGCCTAAACATTCTCGGTGTATTCAATCATTTCTCCTAAGACCTGGGATTCAGACCCCTTACCAGCCCTATCACATGGTCATTTATGCCTTTCGTAAAATGCAGCACGCAGAACTGACTGGGAATGGCCAGGTCAGTTCTGGGTAAGTGTAACTATCACCTCTCTCATTCTGACCACTACACTGCTATTCATTAGCCTACACAGAAGTTGCATTTGGATAGCTAATGCTGGTTTAAACTGAGCCACCTAGAACTGAAAGGTGAATAGCACAGGTCTCCATCCTCTGCAAAGGACTGGGCTATCAGCTGTAAGATGTCCCCCTTCAACTCTTCGCTTGTCATCCATGTGTCCATGCAGTCACCGATCCTGTCAGCTGGGCTCCTGCCTGAAAACATCCACCTGTCCCTGTACAATGCAAAAGAGCATCGTTCTCCCACTCACCACAGAAACCTTTGTTTCTTTCTCATTAAGATAGAGAATGAGTAAACTGCTCTCTGCATCAAGTTTCCAGGTAGACAAAACTGTCACAGTTGATGTTTTTTTCTTTAAAGCATTAAAAACTCATACTTTTACACAGAATCTAGATACAAAATCATCAGTAATTATCTTTTTTTTTTTTCTGGTTAAGGTTTATTGCTTTAGTCTTCCTTTCAAAGAATTTTTTTTAATACTGATTTAAATCTTTATTTAAAAAACTTATAAAGTTCCATAGATATTAGCAATGCATAAATTCCTAGGGGTTTTTGGATAACTGGTAAAAAAAAAATCACTAACAGAAAAATTTCACTTCCCATTTAAAAAAAAAAAGTGCACACGCATATATGAGGGTAACTAATCATTGCTATGCTCAGTCACAGCGTGACAAAAAAAGCCACCACCATAAAAGGATGTCTGCATAATCTCTCAAGCAACATGCCAAAGTAACCTACTTCAGTTGGGCAAACACGGACTGCTACCGCACAGAGGTCCCAACAAGTCACCGAGAGGTGAGTACTAGATATTTCATTTAAATATTTTGTAAAACTTTAAAAGCCTAATTAAGGTATAAAGTAAAGAAGACAATCTATTCAATGACAACTATAAATATTTCTAACAAAAATCGTATCAATATAGTTTAGTCTCCGCTGACTGGCAGATCTAATTAGCTAATACCGAGGTAGGTGAGAACAAGGGACCATGACTGAAATCTGTGCCAAAACACGGGGCTTACTTTGTACTTCTGTGTGAACTCACAGTTACAGAAAACAGCATCAAGTGTAAGTCAGCAAATAATGCCAATATTTCAGGGTACTTTAGTATGAAGGGAAAGGAACAAAATTATTTTAAAATGGAGTATTCCTACACTTAAATGCATGTGTATAGAAGTTATTTAGCACAATTTGAAACAAAAAAAGTTGCCACATTCTACTATTTGACCATGTTTATATACCTAAAGGTCTTTTCTATACACTATTACTTCTATACTTTCTAGTACTTTTCCAGACAGAGTGCCAATACTAGAATTCATTAGGCAAAGGGTATAAATGTTTCTCAAGCTTTATATATAAACTGGTAGTCTTTGGTTTACAAAAATATTTTACCAATTTGCTGCCCACCCCCCTCCCCACCAACCAGTGACAGTATGGGCTTCACTGCTTCTTAGCCAACACGAGTATTTTAATTCTAAATATAAACAATTAATTTGATAAGTGTAAAATGAATCTGTTGCTTGCTTTATATTTATTTGATGATCACTAAAGCTAAACAGGTCTATTTTTTCTAGAATTTCCATGTGCCTAAAAAAATGTCACAAAACAATGAAGTACATGTAATGATTTGCAACATTTATGTCCAGGGTGGGAATGGAAGTAACAGAAATTCTTGGCAAAATGTAAGCTATGAGGAGAGTTCCTCTAAAGGAAGGCGTGTCTGGGAGCTCTAGGGGGTATCAGTCCAAGTACAATACAGGGCATTGGTTCAAAGCATGGGCTCTGGAATCAGGCTTAGACCTGGGTTCGATTATTCCTAAACTGTGTGGCCTCGCGGGAGTAGTAATACTGCCAAATCCTTGTCACATTGGCTGTCATAGGTAAGCGCCAGAAAACTGTCTGCTATCATTCTCTCCACCCTCTACCCATTAAACTACCAAAGGATGAATCCAATAAGTTTCCTTGCCCTATCATTTTGTGAGAATTATTTTTCTTACACTTATTTGCAGATCTTCACAGAATATTTTACATAAAGACTGAGTCTATGGAGGGTAAACATCTATCTGTGCTTGCTGTCTGGATCTGCTTCTGCTACTACTTCAGCTCATGCTTTCTCCCCAGGACTCAATCATACTTTGGAGACATAACGCTACAAAGAACACACTGCTGCACAAAGCCTGCTCACTCACTGGCTCACCTTTCATGAGGTGGGGGAGGGCGTAGGGGTGGGGGTGGGAATGCCTCTTATAAATTACTTTAACTAGCTTCCAAGAACTTATTAGTAACATGACCAATCATTTACTAGAATAAACACTACCTCAGATCACTATATGACTTTCCCTCGCTTAAGAAATCCACAGACATTACCAGGTATCTACTGTAGGATGGTTCTGAAACACTCTATGGGGTAAAATGTAGGGGAGAAAGCCATCATCCTTAAGAAGAGTGCATTTTAAAAAAAGAGCTTCCCACCCAGCAGAGGAGTTTACAAGTAATGCCTCCCTCCCTGCCACGGGTAAGGGCCTACTGCAGGGTTCAAGGCCACAGAGCATGGAGTGTGCTAACGGTGTGCAAGTCCTTCCAGCCCATGTAGTTCCTGAGCTTTCCAAGAAATCTGTAAAGCCCAGGGCTTCAATATCAGATGAGATAATGCATGTGAAAACCACCTGAAAACTGTAGAGTTAACAAAGATCCTTGTGGTGTCTTGAAAGCTCAAAGAGAAGAATAAAAAATATTTTGTTAAAAGTCTACAAACACCTAAAAAGTAGCATAAATATAAATTAATAGCATCAAAGCTATCCTAGGTAGTCACCATTTTCTTTCAATCTAAATTGTTTTATGAAAATATTGTTAAAAATAGTAAAATCTAAATTCATTTGTAAAACCTTTTACTTACTTTAAAATACAAGTAAATTAATGAGTGCCTTTATTTAAATCAGCATATTTCCCTCCTCCTCTCCCTCCTTCCAGCTCCCCAGTTCTCCTCTTCTCTCTAGTTCAGACAGGATGAGTTGGTACATGTTAAACTTTTAAGATGTTTTCCTATTTTTAACCTGTTTTCTACCAGTAACATCAGATCGATTTGGTAACAGGAGCCAGGGATAAAACACTTTGCACAAAATATGATTTTAGGAGCCAAACTGCCAGGATTGAATCCTGACATTTAACAGCTATGTCTTTAAGACAAGTCATGAAAGTGCTCTGTGTCTTAGTTTCACCACTGGACATGGGTTTGTGAAAGTTCTATGATGATTCAGTGAGTGAATATACGTAGAGTGCCCAGAACAGTGCCTGGAGGAGAGTCCGCGCTTAATGATACTGGTTCCTACTACTAATCAAGAACTCTGATAAAGAGCCTTTGCCTAAGGATCTAGAAAGCTGGGACTCTGTCATTCTTTAGTGGGTGTCTATTGTGCCTCAGTCATGGGTCAGCTGGAGATAAACAAAATTAACACAGTTCCCATGCACAGGACTCCACAGGCTGGTGGGAAACAGAAAAATAAACTCAACAATACAGGTGCTAGTAGAGAACACAGTGCCCTCACGAGGACACTGCACGCTGTCTTTCTGGAGGGTGCTCCAACAGAGCAGGACAGGATAAGATCAGGGAAGCTTCCAGGCACAGCGGACTCTGAACTAAGTCTTGAAGGAAAGTAAGAGCTGAAGATACAGGACAAAGAAGAGGAGGCGTCCGAAAGAAGGAAAAGTGCCAGAAAGGCACAGAGCTGTGACAGAACACAGAACGTCAAAAAAATGCACATAATTTAGGAAAGCTGGAGCCAGGGCATCACAGGGAGAAGGTGGCCAGAGAGCCAGCTGAAGAGTAAGGCAGAGCCCAGCCACAGGGAGTCAGAGAGCTTCCCATCAGCCCAGGGTTCAACGTGCGGCATTTGAAAGGCACTGTGAAAGGTGTGGCAGGAGCTCCAGAGAGATGGGAGAGAGGCCTGAAGGCAGGCAGTGGGAGTGAGAGTAGTATACAGACAGGCAGAGGGACCGACAAACACATGGTGCAGAGGCAAGGCTGAGTGTGGGAGACAGTCAGGAGGCTGCAGGCACAGGAACCGCTGACTTGATAGGAGTTAGCAAGTGAGGGACGGCATGGAGTCCCAGACACCTTTGTGACTCCTGACTTGGTACCTATACTGATGGAGGACCCTGAGCAAATGATCGAATCTCTCTGGAATTCTGCTTATCCACAAAATAAGGATATCTGATGTTTCTGACTAATTTCCAGGAGATGAGTCAAAAAACAAAACCTGAAACTCCCTTGAACTTTAAGGAGAAAAGGCACATAAAGATAACACAGACTGAGATCTTTACTACAAAGAATCTTTTTATGGGGCGCCTGGGTGGCTCAGTCAGTAAGTGTCCGAGTTCAGCTCAGGTCATGATCTCGTAGTTCGTGAATTCGAGCCCTGCATTGGGCTCTGTGCTGACAGCTCGGAGCCTGGAGCCTGCTTCGGATTCTGTGTCTCTCTCTTTCTCTGCCCCTCCCCTGCTCGCACTCTGTCTCTATCTCTCAAAAATAAGTAAACATTAAAAAAAATTTTTTTTAAAAGAATCTTTTTGTATTATCCAGTTATTGTACTTATAGGTCAAATCATGCCACATGGAAACACAGTATTTGTCTTCCTCACTGAAATGCGTATTATGCGGGATTCTGTTTTCTTACAGTTCCTAAATATTATGTGATGTAACTCCTGTCCTTAGTATTACCACCTCCTTTGTGTTCATGTTGGTAACTTTCACATCAACCTACTCAGTTTGTTAGAGCTGCCAAAAGCCACACAAAGAAAATCAGTGAAAGGGGAAAGAAAAATAGCTGGAATATATGAAACCCTAAATGTGCAAGTAGGTGTTTAATCAAGTAATTCAAATGTCAGGCCCCTTTCACCTTTGCATCAATGCCAATGCATGTGTTTATGGAAGGCGACGTGGTCTTCCTCAGTCAGTGCCTATTAGGTCAGGATGCTGCAGAGGCACTAAAAGTAAACTACAAACTGGCAAACACATTTTTTTGGTTTTTGTTTTTTCTGTCTTCAAGAGGTTCTCAGGGCACCTGGGTGGCTTAGTAGGTTCAGTGTCTGACTCCTGATTTCGGCTCGTATCACGACACTAGGGTGGTGGGATCAAGTGCCGCAAGCCCCAGACTCAGCTTGGGGCCTGCCTAGGATCTCTCTCCCTTCCTCCCTCCCTCCCTCTCACTCTCTCTGCCCCTCACCCCTGCTCACACACTCCCCCTCTCTCTAAAATTCAAAAAAAAAAAAAAAAAAAAAAACAAAAGCAAAGAAGTAGTTCTCTGTGCACTGTCCCGTAAGTGACCCTCTGCAGACCTACTGAGAGGTGGTCAGAAGCAGCCTGTGCCATGGGATCAGCAGGAGGGTCACACTTCCACAAACCCAGAGGCAGGGTAGGGAGGTCCCCTCAGACAGGCCAACCGCAGACGACCACAGACAACCGCACTCTGAACATAAACACTCTGGCAGGTGCGAGATTCTATCCTGAGAAAGTTCAGGCAGCTATCAGTGTCCCACCTTCCTGGACAACGTTCCCTATATCCTTCCAAAAATGAATCCTGACCATAGACATAGTGAGCCATCAACTTAGGACTCAAAGCTGGCTGGGGAAAAAAAATCACCTGGCAGTGTAGAAAGACTTATTTCACTAAGTGAACTGGGGCGCATACTGACTGTGAAACAAACAGCCAAGTGGCAGCTTACTGGAACACACAACCTGACTTTGCCAATGGAGTGAAGAGAGGCTGTGCCAGTGCTGGTCACAACACGGCTGTGCCTCAG